ATAAATGTTAAATGCATTTTTATTTTACTGCATTTAGAAATGTTGATGATTGAAAGCTGTAGATTTTTCTAATCTGTATTATCGTTTAACTTATTGGGGAAAAACCGATTATCAAATTGCAGATTTCTTGAATTTCCCGAAAAATTGAAATGGCGGTCAGGCGATCGTTTACTTCAACTTACCTGGGGTCCAACATACCGTTCTAGAGTTGGATAAGTAAAGTACGCGGCGCGAAGCGCTGTGCACACCTTCAATTTACATGCGGAACAACACACTCCCAGCGGCCGCGGTAACCAACTTCGCCTAAATTTTTTTCACTTTGCACTTATAAAAATTTCCTTCTCTGTCTATCCTATTTCCCCACGCACCAAAACTCTACAACCACCGTTTTTGCAGGAAAAAATGCTGGGACTAGGTGTATATTAGTGGGCCTACTTTTGCCACAGCGTGTTTACGGCAAAAAGACGCACATGAGAATTTCTAAGGTCAGACTGACATCGAGCCAATTAGATAGTGCCCTTGAGCGGTTAACATCAACTGGATTTCTGTGTCGTCTGACTGGTCGGGTGGAACCCTAATTCACTCGGGAACTGGCACACGAACACGGCATCGATAGAGAGTCATGCGAGCTATTTAGTAAAGACGGCTCCTCCTAACATGACTGATCGAAGTCGATATTTCAGATCTCCATGTTTATTTGGTAAAACTTGACGAGTCTTTATTGGCGTGTTCTGTTATGCCGTAAACGCTGTAGGGGTGACGAGTCGCCCCATGAACTTAGCTGAGGATCTGGTTGCGTCCATACTACATGCTCTTGTACCGGGGAGAAGTAGTATTAATAGGCTCCCGTCTTCTCAGCTCCTTAAAGTAGCCCAAGGCGATAATGCTGCTTGTGTTTTTTTCTCCATATCAGGATATACCGAGATCCGAGGTCCGACTGAGGTCAAGAACATAGACTTGACGGAGATATTTCAGACTCTGTGGCCTTGATGAAGTCTGGTAAACTCGTAAGGAAAGACAGTGGATTAGAGACGCAATTGTATTGGAGACGGCCTTCCTAAGTTCCGGGGAGGTTAGGGTTAGGTTTAAGGTCGGACTGACGTTTGGAGTCAGGGCTATGTGCAAAGCGAATTTTAGGGTTAAGGTAGGATTAGGATCAAGAATAAAGTAAAAAAGAAGAAGAAAATACGATCGCTGGACAGAGAAGTTTAATTGGCCTGATATTTACCATTCTCACTCACACTCATAATCAAAGACAATTTTCCAATACAAGCGAACATGCGAGTCTCAGAAAATCTGAAGTCGCAACTTCCTCCTCTGAAGAGATTCCTGGAACTCACCTTTTTGCTTCTAACTCTTCTTAGAATAAAAGTTACATTTAGGATTGCTGTTAGGATTAGGTTTTGATTTGGTGTATTTTTAGTTGGTGAGTTAGGAAACGGTACTAGGCACCCTTCTTGCAGTTAAACGTTTTGCCACGCAGACTTGAATTTTTATAACTAGGTCTGACCGATGTGTGAAAGCACCAATCTCGATTCGCAACACGGTGTCGGCAGCCGTATATCCTGATCCATGGGCTCGATGAGTGACGCGGAAAAACAATGCAGTGATGCCGGGTAGGAATTGCATAAAGAGGTTGTCAGCCATAGCAGAAGGTTGTTGCGTGCTTTTGCATAAAAGGCGCCAACGAAGACCACACTCAAGGCATGGCCTGTTTCACAAACGCCTTAGTCCCGGGTCCACGCCGATTATGCTGGACCGATCAATGGCCAGAACTTCCTTATCGCCGCTTACGCAAACAGTAAATGGCCGGAAGTCATCCTCATGGAACGCACGACAACTGGAGCAACGATAAACACTCTTCGACGACTATTCAGCAGGTTCGGTTTTCGCGAAACTTTGGTGAGCGATAACGGTGGACAGTTCACATCAGCCGTCTTCGTCCAATTCTGCAAGCAGTCGGGTATTAACCATGTGCATTCATCACCATATCACCCACAGTCAAACGGACAGGTTGAACCATTCGTCGACACCTTCAAAACGTCAAAAGGGGAGGGGACGACGGAAGAAGTTCTCGAACTAGTCCTGCTGAACTATCGAGCCACCCCGAACCCTAACAGGCCAAACGGTGTCTCCTCAGCGGAAGCCATTATGCAGAGAATGCTTCGCCCGCCATTTGACGTTATTCGTCCACTGTAATCTGTCGGTGTTGTTAATGAATCAGCCCATCCGACTTCAATGGAAAGGCAATTCAACCGACGCCACGGTGTAAAGCAATTATTGTTCCATCCGGGTCAGGTAGTTCTGGCAAAAGACTACAGAAACAATCAAGAAAAGTGGACGGCTGGACGGTTTCACCAAAAGTGTGGTGACGTGGTCTACGAGATTCGGGTCGGCTCCGACATTTGGGTGCGCCACGCCAACCAGCTGAAACGCACTGAATGTGCTGACGCGCCAAATCCAAGCCCAAACTTATCACTGGAACTATTACTGGACACATTCGATCTGCCAAAACCAAGGCAAGAAAATACAGTTCCAGTTGCAAGTCGATCTCCCCAGGCCTCTAAGCGATCAGGCCGGAAAAGAATTCTAACTGTCCCGTTTCAAGTGTTCCTTCAATTCAAATCTTACGATACATCTCAATTGGGGGACTGTTAGGAGAAGCCTAACAGGCAGATAGTCTGTTGCAGTCAGCCGTACTCACAGCAGTCTCTCAATCGCCCACTTTTGCCTGAGCCAGCAACTCGGGGTTCTGGGTTCAATAAAGCCCTCAATCTGCTGCTTTGTCTTTTATCAACAACTGGGGATCTGCCCTAACGATTGTAGTATTCTCAGTACAACCATTAGGTAACCCAACAAATTGGTGACGCAAGCGTGATCTGAACACGTAACCTTCTGATATGGCTGACAACCTCTTGTCAAAATTCCAACTCGACTTTACTGCACTGTCTTCCCTGCGTCACTCAGAGTGCCCACGAATAGGGAAAAGCGATTCCTGACACCCTGTCGCGAATGGAGATAGACGTTTTCTAGGAAACTCGACCACATAAGTCCAAGTCGAACGCCAATCAGTTTATTTGGTGCAATCACCCAAATGTATTGTGGTCAGATCACATCCTCTCCTCCTCTGTACGATACATTCCCCTCTCATTGTCAACGAAACAACATCCGTAAGTTATCTTCATGCACCCAACTTGATAACACAGAAGCATCGATGAATTTTCAGATTTTTGAAATTGTATTTTATCCTAGTTTTGGTGCCTGGATTACAGTGAGCGTATTTCACTAACACACTCGTCCGACTCAGCCCTCACTGGGATACATTTTGACTGAAATGTCCTTTTCTCCCACCAACGCGCCGACTCACTGGCGCACGTTGTCGAGATCACGCCAACACATCCGCCGACCGATGCCACAACTGCACGTCAGCGCAGATCGCAAGCATCACCCTGGCCTCCAGTATGGGTAAGTACTGTCACACGATAAACACTCTCTAGCATATTCACTTCGTTCTGCGCCTGGTAGGGTGTTCTGGAGGACAGACAACCATGCTATCACCCGCCCTTGCCCAATGCGCGCTGCCGCAACGTCATGCAATATC